CAGAAAGCCTGAAGCAGAGACTGCAGTGAATTCTGGGACCAGAGAAGCAGGAGAGCGCTGCATGATGGGGAATCTGTGCTTCCAATGTTAATCAACCCATGTTCACACACACCCAGCTCAGCATTTATCAGACCAGTTCTAATCTGGATTTGCTAAGGACTTTTCCCCCCCAGACACACACACACAGCTCTAAGTTTAATAGGCATCTCGGGCCGTACATTCCCCGGTCCCACTATGGGAGGCCTATTTAAACTTGATTGACTAAAACTCGGTTGCCGGGTTAGGGAATGCTGAGGCAAGAGACCGAGTCAGAGGGGGTATGGGCAACATTTGAACAATGGTTAAGGGTTCATCACAGCATCCAGCCTGCTGGAGCCCTAATCCCAGGTGTTGTCATATCTTTCCCGAGACGACTGGTGGGAGTCCTCTCCACAAAAGGTTATGAGCACCCCAATAATTGTTTTAAGTCTGTTAAAAGACTATAGTAAGATCTGGAAAAGTCATGCTAAGCTGAGGCTTGTGCACAACAAGTAAAAATCCAAAATCCTGATGCTGCAAGCTATCTATTGTTCCTGAAGAAACCATGAGATATCCCATCAGTATATCTGCCACCCATAGGAATCTCAAGCTGGCTCCCAAGTATTTGGGTTACTCCCTAATCTTAAGTGTTTCCTGATTATCAATCAGTTTCCTGAGATGGTCCAAACCAGATAACCCCTTGTCAATAGAAAAGACAATGATTTACACTACTGAGGGTGCTTCGAAGCAGCTAAACTGAGGGTATAAAAATCTGTAAGTGTGTGTGCTGCTAGAGGGAGAAGAGGAAGAGGAAAAGGAAGGAAAAGAAGTAGAAGCAGGAGGAAAGAAGGAGAAGAAGAAAACCCCTGTGCTGACACCATCCCCTGTCGTTCTTGGGACGCTGGAAGAACAGATCATCTCTCCCTTCAAGGACTGTGCTACAGACTGTGCCTGTCAGCTTTGCAGCCTGAGTACCGTGGACTAGGTGAGATCCCAGCGTTCTCTGTCTTCTTTCTAGGCATAAACTTCTGAACCTGAACTGTATCAGTTAAGCTTGAGCTAAGTTTCCCCAAATACTTAGTGAAACCAGGGTAGTATTGTCATTGTTGGTGTTTGTTTTTCTTTTGCATGTCTATTACTACTAGTACTATTATATATTTCATATGCTTAGCAATAAATAACTTTTATAGTCAAACTGGTAGTAATTGGGTATATTTTTCCTTCTCTGCTTCTCTTTCCTCCCGTGCTCTGCAGCAACGCTTCTTTTACCTATGCTAAAGATCCCTGTGAAGCCCAAATTATTGTGGGGTCTGCTCATCAAGAGGCCAAAGATTGGGACGTGCTGAGTTTGAAACACATAAGGGGATCAGCTTGTACAGGCTGATTGACCCAGTTTGACTCAGACGTGCCCTTATGAACTGAATGCTGGCCCATGAGGGTGTCAGCTGGACACCCAGCCGGATTCAGAGGGATTCTGTTTACCTGTGTGCTTGTGTCTGACTGCATTTTATTGTTGCTCTTATGAACTGATTCTTGGCATATGAGGGTGTCAGCCTGTCCATGCTGATCAGCCCGGCCAGGTCAGGCGTGTCACGTTAATTTGTGTGTGTTTGTGTGTATGACTGATTTGGTGACTGGAGGAACCCAGTCCCATTGAGATTGAGTCCTGCAAGATAGCTCCACTGGGGGTGAGGGCTTGCAGAAGGGAGAAATACAGCTCCGTATAGTAACACAAGCAGCACATTGACAGAATCACCAAGACCCTAGAAACTATCCCTAATAAATGAGCACACCCCAAAGTAATGGGCAGATTTGGTAACAAGTGCCATCTGATTGGGGCCCTTCACTGTCTCCCCTGGCTCTGTGCCCCTGATCAGGGGCCCAAGCCATCTTCCTCAGCCCTGCACTGCCAGATGGGGTTCCCACTCTGCCTTTGCTCGGACCCTGCACTACAGGATCAGTCCCCCACCATCTCCAGCCAGCTGATCTAGCCTACTATCCAGTCATTGCTGCCATTGCTACCCTGCTGCCAAATTTTTGGACTTGTGGGGTCCCCTGTGGACCAGATGGCATGGCTCTACACACTGACAAGGCATGGCCAATCTGATAGAGCCAAAGATATGCTCTACATGAGATACATGAGCAAGATTTAAAATACAGAGCGGGCAGAATTTGGTACAGCCTGGAGAGCAGGGAGCAGATTATTAATGGAGGTTGTTTTGGGCCCTGGGAAGCCAGTTCCTGTGGAACTTCCTGCTACCTGAGTTGCAGTGAACCATAGAGCTTAGGAGTTCTGCACAATATCCTGCTCTCAATTTCTCAGTGCATGTGAATAATTCAAAAATAGTGAAAATAGCCAAAACGTTCCCAGATAAACACTAAGTAACAGAAACCCAACAATTCACCAATTCTGTTGTTTGTTCACAGCAATACAAAGCACACAGGACCTGTCTACATGTCATAAATTATACAAGTGTCATTAAACAGAATTTTATGCAGATAGGCCACTTAGGTACCAATTATAAAATTATAACACTTGCATGAAAAAGCTTGTTGTGGTCATACAACTTCACAATTAGTATAGAATGTTTGTATTAGGCAACCGCTTAAAAAACAATGGTATGTAGCACATATTTCTGATAAGCTACCCACAAGTTTTACAAGTCTGGCTTCTTTAATTTGAAGAAGTCTTCAGTATCAGACTTCTTTATAGAAAATGATTAAGAAAGATTTTGATGGTACAGTCACTGTTCCATTACCTTTTCTTTTTTTAAAATAATCCTTTGTTCGAAATCTACACATTTCAAAGAAAGTAAGAAAGGAACAAGATCTAAGGGAAGCATTGATAAGACAGCTTTTTAAAGAGTCTGGGTTATTCTAATGGTGCATGTCCATACTTTCAAATGACTGGATTTCTTTTAAGTTTAACCATAACTTTAAATTTCCTGGTTTTGTCTTTTTTAAATACAAAAAGTCTGTTTTTCTCACTTCTCATGTTTGTCAACCTTGATTCCAGTTTAAGAATGTTGTTTATATGGGATATAAAAATTGCATAATTTATACTGTCTTCTATCTAGTTTAGGGAAAACTATCTAGTTTAGGGGGGAAAAAGAGTTAATTGTCCATATGGTAAAACATATATTTAATTAATCTCTTTGAACAATGAAATTAATTAAAATGAATAGGTAGGATAGAAAGCACAGCAGGTAGAATTCCTTGATGGAGTAAAGCAAAAAGAATATTTACAGTTGGGTATACATATTATACTTTTTAGAGGGAAATTGGGATCAAACTAATTTGTTGAATAAACTGCAGGGACAGTCCTGCTTCGGCATGAAAAGAGGCTTGATACTAGTAGGTCTTTTCCCTTTCTAGCTCATATGATGTGACATTTTATTTAACTGTACCTTATAGACTAAATCAGAGACGTACTGCATGAGCTTTTGTGAGCCCACGCTTACTTCATCAGATGCTGTGAGTTCAGTTTAGGGATTTTATACAAATTGGCTTGATTGAGTATCCACCCGGAAACCTGGGAAAATAAAAGAAACAAACAATCTCGGGGAAACTGTTAATAGTATCTCACCTCAACCAACTTAACAATTTATCACAGTCAGTGAATTCAGAGTTCTGTCTTAGTCTCACACAGGGTGAACTTGGTAGCACTAGCCCAAGCATTCCCTTTTCCTCACTGCCATGGGGGGATGCTGCTCTGCTGTTGCTGTCAGTGCTCCTCATAATCACTGGGCGTGATTGCTCCACACTGCCACCAAGGGGTGCTGACCCGCTGCCAGTTGCTAAGGCAACCCAACTCCTTTAGACCTTAAGCAAGCTCAAGGATTTCAGCTCTTTTGGAATACTGCAGATATAGATCTCAGCCTGACCCCATTGTTTGTACTGCAGCCATTTCACCTCTTTTACAAACAAATGGGTAACGGGCCTCAACTGAATCCCTTGCAGGAGTTTGCCCATCACAAGTACTCTTCCACATGAGGCTTAGTAGATCCTGTAGGGAACTTCTCCAAGTCTCTTCTGTTACACTGAAAGTCCCTCCAACTTAGACCACTACACAAGTCATGGTGAGTGCTCACCCCTCAGCAACCTTTTCCCAATTTTTCTCTTACAGCAGGGCTGTCCAATTTCTAAGCTGCTGCAGGTCACATCCCCAGAAACTCCACCAGTGAGAGGGCAGGGGGATGCGGACATGCGGGTGCTCCCTCCTTCTATCACTGCATCAGGTGGCCCCCTCACTGTAATGTGCACTGTAACATGCACCTGCATGAGCACAGTTCCCACCACCACTACAAAGTGCACCTGTGTGAGTTTAATTTTTTCCTTCCCCACCCTGGAATTGCTGCACCCTGCACACACGTCTCTGATTTAGTTGGTCTGTAAGGTGCAAATCTACCCTGCCTTCTGTCTGACATCAGACTAACAGATAACTACCTTTCTCATTTTATTTAACTATCATTTTCCCTATTAGACTGGGACATTGATATTCATGTCATTGATAACTCACAGTTTGCCTCCAGTAAAGTGAATTTGAAGTACATGCAACTTTCTTTTAAAAATATACATTGTAGAACTATCCTTTGTTAGTTACAAAACAACTGAAAATATAAATATCAAATTACAAAGCATGACAGGTACCTAGAGTAATTGCATGGTAAGCTAATTCCTACTAACCTCTGCAAAAAACTTATAAATAAAATTTTGTGTGTGAATGAAAATCAAAAGAAATACTAATATAAATAATGAGAATAATTTTCAGTTTCTTGCAAGACAACTTTACTGTTTTTGAGTTGGATTCAGAATAGCTGAGGTAGCCCTTCTTCCTCCATTTTAAATGCATTGTTTGATTTGGAGACAGTTTTTTTGGGAAGAACAGGAAGGAATTGAACCAATGTAATAACAGTAACTCTTAAGAAAAAATTCAAGTGACTTGATCCTTTGTTATTGAGTTCCTCCATTCATCTTTTCAGATTTCTGTGGTCCCTAACTGTTTCCCATACAGTGATGGAAGTCAACTTGTTGCCTGGAAGTTTAACAAGTTCACGGTTAACATCCTATTGTAAGAACTCTGAAAGCTTTTTTAACTGTTTCTGTGCAATGACTTATTGTGTCTTGTGTACTTTAAATTAACCACCTTCTAAGCATTTGCTTCTAGTGAAGCCTATATGACAGAATAGCTGTGTCTAGAAACATCTTCTAAGAACTGTTCTTTAGCTTGTCCAAAAATGTGTAATGCTATTTATTATCTGTTTATTATTGCTAATGATTTATAATCCAGTACATATTACAGGGGATTTGATAGCAGTCTTTAACTACCTGAAGGGTAGTTCTAAAGAGGATGGAGCTAAATTGTTTTCAGTGGTGACAGATGATACAACAAGGAGCAATGATCTCAAGTTGCAGCAAGGGAGGTTTAAGTTGGATATTAAAAAAAAACTTTCTCACTAGGAGGGTGGTGAAGCACTGGAACAGGTTACCTAGAGAGGTGGTGACATCTCCATTCTTGGAGGTTTTTAAGACCTGGCTTGACAAAGCCCAGTCTGGAAAGATCTAGTTGGGGCTGGTCCTGCTTTGAGCAGGGGGTTGGACTAGATGACCTCCTGAGGTCCCTTCCAACCCTCATTTTCTATGATTCTACGATTAGTTACAGGTAACATTGACATTATTGAAAGCGCATTGCTATAAAAGGAAATGCTGCCATTAACTCCTTCACCCCAAGCCATGAAAAGTTTTCCCCTTCAGATACTGTTTGGAATCCACACAAGTGGATGGTTCAAACTTTCATTTTTCTCTGCAACAGAGCATGAAATTTCCTCACATCAGAACGAGCTCATGTCAGTCACTAAGTGACAACAGGTCAAGTCGGGTGGCCAGTACTCAAAATAAATCTGCTTGCAGAGACTTAGCAGCTGCTATGACCAGGGCAAAGCAGCATTTATTTGCTGCTTGAACATCTGTGATATGATTGTTAAACTATATAATGTGCAGTCAGTCATAATGGAAAATTTTTTTGTGAGTTGGTCTGATTGTTGAAGGCCTGGTCTACACCCAGTTTTGTTTGAGCAAAACTTTCCATGAGAGGTGCTATTTTTTTTATCCATATAGTTATATGAGCATAGTATCTGATGTGGATGCAATTACACCATTACAAAGATACCTTGTACCACTAGCTTATTTCCCTTCCTGCACCCATATTGTGGGAAATAACTATACTGATAAAGCAGTATATTTCTAAAACAGTAAAAGTTAAAGCAGTAAAACCCAACTGCAACAGAAATCACTATATTTAATTAATTATTTTTGTAATATAACATTACTAGCTGAAACTTACAAAACATTTTAGATTTTTTTTATTGTAAAGGTATTTCCTTAAAAACAGGATTTTTAGTTATCCCTTGACTGAATACTATAAGGGAATCATAACTTCTCACCCTTGAAAAGACTACATAAAGCTGTCTGTGTGTAAACACAGGCTTAGGAATATTCTATCATATTCACATTTGCTAGATGGACTTCTTAGTCTTTTAGACATTTTTTTTTCTAGAAATCTTATTCCAAAATTCTAATTTTTTCTATTATAATGACATGCTTATTCTGTCTGGCAGTAGTCATTGTGATTGGCTGACAAAAATCTATAGTTTACTGTGGTCTGTTACTGGTGGAGACAGTGCATGGGGTGCTGGAAGGTCGCCAAAGCTGAGCTTCCCTGAGCACACCCATGCTTCCGGTGCCCTGTGCACCGCTGGATCTGGCGGGTGCTGCCTGCGAGCTGGGGCTGTACCCGTGCAGCTAGCACCCTGCCTGGGCGGCCTCAGGGGGCACCACTGCTGCAGAGGGAAGCACTGGCCCCCCCACAGCTCAGGGGTGGTACAACCTGGTGGTAGCTTGCATGGTCTGCTGAGGGGAAAAAAAAAAGTGTTGAGGGGCCTGATCTTTTATCTTTTCCTGAAGCCTGCCTGCATCTCCCATGGCCAGGGAGCAAGCTGCTGGTGGGTCATGCAGCCCCTGAGCAGCAGGGGACCATGGTGCTTCCCTCCATGGCAGTGGCACCCCTTCTGCAGGACCCACCTGTTGGCATGTGGTCCTGGGGTTGCCGCCGCTGCAGAGGATAGAACCAGGGCCCCGTGCAGCTCAGGGCCCACTGGCAGCTCGCCCCCTGGCCGTTGGTCTGGGCTGGCTCTGGGGTGGGAAGGATTGGGCCCCTCACTGTTTTGTTTTTGTTTTTGTTTTTTCTTCAGTGGAGCCTGCCCACTCTGCAGCAGGGTGTGGCGGGGGGTGCTTCATTCTAGTTCTGACTTGCCTGTATATCTGTTTGAAATGCCTCAGGATCTATAATAATAACACGCTTATTCCGTCTGTCTGGAGGACTCTGATTGGTTGTTTCAGTAAGCATTATGATTGGATGCTGAGACAACCAGAGTGCTCTGGACAGACAAAATAAGCCTATTATTATTATAGATAATTACTTGTTGCTGGTTATTCATTGATTTCCCCCCCCCACCCCATGTTTGAGTGGATGAAGCCTCTATAACCAGAAGGTTCTCTGTGGAGAAACATGAAACCTTCCTTACCAGAGCTTAGGGTGCTCTGAGCCTCTGCTGGTCAGTTTTTGTGAAATCTGGGATCAAACTATGGTCTGCAACCTAAGAATGCAATGTATTGTTAAATACAGGAGGCCATGAATTTTATCACACAATAGTTTTGGTTGCTTTTAGCACAAATTGTTTACTTTATGGATTTTTTCAGTATAATGACTAACTACAAAGAAGTAAGGCACCCAAGTTAAAATTCAGATTTATGCTAATAAGTCATCTCTTAGTTTTTTATTAAAAGATTCTGGTTCAGAGTCTTTCATCCACTCTGCACCCTCTGGGCCCCACACTTAGTGCATAGGGACCAGAGCCTTTTCATTACACTGCCCTGGTATATGATAGACCTAGCTTCTGTGTCACCCTCTTACAGATGTACAGGTACAGAGAAAGATGAAAGAGATGGTACCAAGAAAGATGAGAGACAGTGCCTGTATTGCAAAGGACTCTGGTAGCCTTGGCTTCTAGAGGGTATTTCTATAAATAAGTAAGCTTTTTCAAACGGAGTAAAGATGAAGAAAGTGTTACTGAAGTGTCCTAGTTCAAAAACAGAAAGCCATCTCTGATGGTCTTTCTCCCCATTTTGTTAATAGTATTGTAACCCTTCTGCCAGGCATCAGATAGCAGCAACAAGGGGTGAGTTCACCTTAGGGGTTTTATACAAATTGATTATCTTGGCTCAAACCCTCACCCAGAAACCTGGGAAAATAATTTCTTCCTGGTTATTCCAATGTGAACAAACTTCCCCTGTTGCAAGCAGTATCAAACTATAACAGGGTTTATTAATGGGGGATAGGGAGGTAGGCTGACAAACAGGTTTAATAACCCCTTAATAATCAATCAGTATGACTGTAAACTGCATTAGACTGGAAGGCTTGATGGTAATGTGGTGGGGCTACTCATGGTGGGGTTGCTCCTATAAAATACCACTACGTTACAACCTTCAGAGTAAGGTGAGTATAGGGTGCCTCCAAACCCTACCTCCCACTGCCTTGTGGGTACTCCTTGGTTGGAGAAAGACTAACAGACATCATCCTGACAGGAACGTGCTGTCACTGAGGTCTAATCTGTTGCTCTTTGGAAGAAGCTACAACTATCAAGGCACTGAACATCTGGACTGGGTCTGGCCTTTGGACTCTGTCTTGATAGTCTAAAGGAGGGGTGGTAGGTTTAGGGCAGTGTTCACTCTTACATTCTCTTGCCTATGTGCATGTGTTGAAGGTTTTGGTGCGAGGGTCACACAGAACTCTTGCACATACACTATGATCCAGAGGGTTGACGGTTGCCAAGAAGCCCTTCTCAACCTACTACTAACAGTTTAGCACAGTCAGTAGGTTCAGAATTCTCGCTTAGTCCCACACAAGGTGGACAAAGTATTCAGTAGAGCTAGTGCAGCTCTTAGTCCAAGGTTTCCCTCATCTCAGCACTGCTGGGGCACTGCTCTATTCCTTGCCAGTGCTGGGGGATGCTGTTCCCCATTGCTCCTCACCACTGTTGGGGGGTACTGCTCCTCATCACTGCCCACTGCTGCTGGAGGTGGGGACACTGCTCCTTGTTGCTGCTCACCATTGCTGGGGGGGCACCACAACTCTCATTGCTGCTGGGGCACTGCTTACCACCACTGGTGGGGCACTACTCTTCACTGCTGCCAGGGGGAGGGCCACCATTGCTGCTGCTCCTTATCACTGCCTACCACTTGGGGGGTGGGGCACGGCTTGTCCTCTGGTTGCAGAGACAACCCACCTCTCTTAGATGCAGACTATCCTCTTTCAGGATCTGGTAAGTACAAGCTCCTACCTAACTTGCTAGTACTCTATGGATTTCAGCTCTTTAGGACCTAGTAGGTAACAGGCTCAGACTAGGATTTGTTTGTCACCAGCACTCATTCCCTCTTTGTTTGGATACTATGCCCTGTTCAAAAAATGTTTCAAGGGCCAAATCAATTCCAATTTCTATTGGGCAGAGGCCAATAGTCAAGTTCCATATTTCAACTGAGTGGAGCTTAATTGTTCAAGTTTGTGTGGCTCTACCACTTGGCAAGTATCTGCCTTCCCAGACCTATCATTTTGGGGCTTCAGGTACTCCCTAAATCTGTGGCAAACATCCTACATGCAAGTTCAGGGCCCAGAGATGCTGGGTTTTGGATGCCCTCTAGTCTTGCTTGCTCCTAGCCAAAAGGATAGGAGCAGGCCAGGGGGAAAGCAGGGAAGCAGTCCCCCATTGCCACAAAGTTGTGCAATCGAGTTTCCTGCATTTGGGAAAACTTGCAGGGGTCAGCCTGCCTGGAGTGCAAGAGACAGGCCTCACCCTAGGAAAAACACCTTGGTTTTTGAAATTTTGTTCTGGGGGCCAAACCACTTCCAAATTAAGTTCCAAAATTTGACTGAGCAGAGCTCAATCACTCAAATCTGTGTGGCACTACCACCACCAAGTATTCTACCACCCAGACTCATCAATTTGGTGCTTCAGA